TCGGTTTGGCTGGCGCTGGCACCCATCGGGGTCCGGTGGTCCCGAGTCTCCTCAGAAAAGCGGAATATTGCATTTTCGATCCGTGATGTCGCCCCAGAAAAGTAAGTGGTGGATTAAAGCACAAGTACCTCCGAAAGTCACGCCAGCATGCGGGCGCAACTTTAGGAGGATATACCCATGCGGCCAGAGATACTGCCAAGTAGAGACACCGGCCTTCTCCAGAAATTGATGCCCTGGTCCTTGCTCGGCGAAGCTTGACGCACACGGTGAGTCCACCTCGGCAAAAAGGGACCAAAAAAAAACGCCACGCTGGTTGTGATGTGTTCAGTAGGGGGGAAGCTTAATACAAACTCTGCCACTTTTTCTAGTACCCATCAGCGTCACCTTTAGGGGGGGGATAACTATAAGCAAGTAAATTATGTATAGACCATAGATGTAAATTTCAAAACTAAAACAATGTTTCGTATACGATAGGGAGATGTGTAACTTGCCTTGGAAGATCATGAACACGACCCGCACGCACTTCATTAACAATTTCCAGATCAAATCGATGACCGGAAAAGTTACACTCAGCTGGAAACGCAAACAGGTGAAATGGTTCATCCTTGCCACTTGTCCCTTTCCAAACAGCCTGCGAGGTTCGCAAGCCGTCAGATTCCCTCTTAGATGCTGCCATGTTTTCAGATGCACACCTGCCGATATTCTCGTCTCCGTGAAGAGGCGGAGGCCTTGCTACCTCACGGAATCCGAAGTACGACGAGAGCCTTTGTCGTAAATGCCCGAGCCGACCCTGGCTCGGCCAGACAGGTGCCTCCTTGTCAGAAAAACCGTCGTCTCTGACAGCCGCTGCTCCGCAACCACTGACATCAGGAACACCTCCCGAGTCCGGCGTACCGTCACGCGCTACCGCTGCAGCTCCTCCGCCCTCCGCAAAAGACGAAAGAAATTTCCGCCGTCGACTCTGCAAACCTCGTTGACGAATCGTCCAGCACCCGTTCACATTGCAGCGGCACTGCTTTTTCCACGAGTCGACCCCCTCCCCATCCTCTTTATCCGCGTTTCCATCCGACGAATGCCACTCATTCGTCCCAATTTGGCCCTCTTCTCTTACACAGGCATTTGTCCCTTCCTGTCCACCTGATGCCAGTGCAGGTCCACCCGATCTCACCGCATAGTCTTCCAACCTGTCGGCATGTCTATCTTTGCGTGCTCTAGACGCATCTGCTCTCCACGTACCTCCGGATCCCCTCGCTGCACCTGTGTCCGGTCTTTCTGCTGTTGTTCCCTCTGCTCTTACCGACAAACCATCTGGTTTCACGGCCACAGGATCGGAGATCTCCACTCTGCATCCTTCGCAATCGTCACCCGATTCTCTCCTTTTTCTACCGGTGCTACATTTCTGCAGCTCTCCAGCGAGAACTGAACCCTCATCTCTACCTGCTACAGGGGGTAACTGATTCTCAACTAGCAGACTCCCATGGCCATCTGGCATTTCTGAACGTTCCAGATCGACTGCCACTGCCGTCGATCCACAGTCCAATGCATATCTTTATACGAAAATCGGCAATTGTGATTGGTAGGTGGGTTAATTAATAAGCACAGTCAAGGAAAACAAATCTTTCATTTTCGTTATCAACAGTTTCAAACTTACTTTTAAAGAAGCTGGCTTTCCTTAGTGATGGGGTGAGGGCATGGTCGCCATTTGAAACTCGCAAATACTTTCGAATGGGAACAGAGTCTCCAACGGTGAGTGAGGGTCTGATGGAAAAACTATCAAAAAATGTTATCCAGCCCACAACAGAAACACAGTCTCCTCCAATACCCTGTGCAATACTCTCTCTCTCTCTCTCTCTCTCTCTCTCTCTCTCTCTCTCTCTCTCTCTCTCTCTCTCTCTCTCTCTCTTACCTGCTGCTGAACCAGCCCCTCCCTCGGGCCACACACACAACAAACACATACATCTCTTTGCTAATATTCCAACCCTTTCCTGATGGTTTTCGTGTGAGTACCTCAACACGTTCGTGCTATTTATGGGTAACCCGGAAGAAAAGACACAACAAAACCATCATGGGATCTTTAGGGCCTCTTATGGGCCCTGTCTCTTATACACATCTAGATGTGTATAAGAGACAGGTCTGGGTACGTTCCCAGGTTCCAGTTCATCAAGTCTCTGGACTCGTTCGTACCCATGATCTATTTACTATTTACTTTTTTTTTTTTTTTTTTTTTTTTTACTATTTACTATTAGTAAATTTACTATTTACTATTTACTATTCGCAGTTGAATACTGTACAATAAAGTTGCAAACAGAAGATAGATCACGACTTCGTTCGAATCATGACCAATGTCTATAGAGATAGACTCAGATAGTAAAAAGAATCAAAGAGTACGGTAAATAGTAAATAGATCATGAGTTCAAAACTTCAAATCCTTATGAATGTGTACTATATCATTTACTACACACATTCAGCAACATGAGCTTGGTGGGCGAGATGTAAACTATATCTCGGAAGACGCTGAACAAAGCCAGTGGGTAATAATAATTGATTAATCATCCAATCAATCCGGATTTAGTCGTTGAGCAATCACCAAAGTACCAATACTGAAATCGTAAAATGTTCGACCGGCTAACAAACGATCTGCCAATCGCGAGATCAACAACCTCTTTTTTTTTCTTTTTTTTTCTTTTTTTTTTTACCATTTCTTGATTTATGTGCGTCAGTCATCCTTGTGCAGGAGCCATGGTAATCTTCACTCTCTGTATTCTTCCAATTTTAACTGGATGTGCCGAAGCATAGCGGATTCGCAATCTTAATTACCCCCCCCCCCCAAAAAAAAAAAAA